AAGCGTATATTTCTATAATCTAATTTTTATATTTACAATGTTGAGACGTGAGCATCTGAAAGTGGTTTTTTTTTTTTTTTTTTTTTTTTTTTCCCAAAGGCCTAGAGTAAACCTACCTTTTTTTTTTTTTAAGGAAACAATGAGTAGACTGAATATATATTTGATCTTTCATTTGCTTGGTGGTTCTCTATTTCCATTATAAAAGAAATATGTATACCTGTGTATATCTATTTAACTTGTATGTGGTAAAACCTCTTAAACAGCAACATTTATAAAGTCTGTACAGCTATGCAAGCTATAGCTATGAATACACCTCAGAGGACTGTATCAGCTCCTAATATGTAACACAAACTTGACACGTTACTTTTACAAGATTACTATAAAACTCCTGTTGAGTGAATACCTTTTGTGAATCAGGACAGCAGTGGTATTTGCTGGCTCTGAAAATCCCAGGAAGTGGGAAGAATTTTCATCGTAAGTGGTTGTAATGTTCCGCACAATTACAAAGCACCCACGGACTTGTGGAAAGACTGAGACTAAGAACTGTTAGAGATTTGTAAGTAAATTGAAATTTTTTTATTTACAGCATAAAGGCAATTATCTTGATTTTGATAATAGTTGATAGAAGTAGATCCAAATAGGAACACGGACATTGTGTTTCTTTTTGGAGAAGGAAAAAAAAAAAAAACAGGAGAAAAAAATTGAAACTGTAGCTGGCATATGACATCTTTCTGATGTCTTGCTTCAAGAGGGTGTCTCTTTTCCTGCCTTGATCATTCAAGCTGTGAGGATTATGGTGTGGGTTTTTTTATCTTGCTTTGGGTTTTGCTTATTTTGTTGGTGTTTTTGTTGTTGATGATGCAAAATACTTGGATTGCATTAAATGCTTCAGACCTGAGTTTTTATAGATTGCTTTCTGGTATGTTATTTCCAGACGATCGTTTACCATGCAAGAAAGGAAAAAAAACAAAACACACACCTAAATCCATGAAAAAGCATTAAAGGTTCTGACAGTGAAGTACTGTCTGTCTTTCCCTGGCGCTTATGTGAAATGATCTGGCAAAACAGATACTGAAGAAATAATGTATTTTTTCTGTGCTTTTTCAAATGATAAATGCTCTTGTCTCTCTGGAGAATTTCTCAGCCAATGCTGATTTTTGCAAGCAGAAAGAATCAGCATTTCCAGTATTTTTTTTTTGTAATGCAACAGATCAGAACTCAATCTTCTAGACAATTAGAAATCCACTTATCAGAAGAAATGTCCAGCAGTGACTCTAACTTTTCATGCACTTCTGTTATGCAAGTCCATTATATATAGTGAAGTTTAGGCTCTTTCCTTTCCTTTCCTTTCCTTTCCTTTCCTTTCCTTTCCTTTCCCTTTCCCTTTCCCTTTCCCTTTCCCTTTCCCTTTCCCTTTCCCTTTCCCTTTCCCTTTCCCTTTTCCTTTCCTTTCCTTTCCTGTATAAATGGATTACTGGGTATGTTACAAATGCTGATAGAATTTTTCAGTATCTCTTACTGGAATAAAATTACAGAATATTCAAAGAAATTGAGGGTTTCATGTTTGGTTGTGTTGATTTTTTTTTCTTTTTTTAATACCCCCCACCCCAAAATTAACTTTATCATCTAGTTATTTTTCTTTACATTGGAGAAAAATGGCTATTTAAGGCATTGCTTGGAAGAGCCATTCAGAGTAACAGTACTATAAGGTGGTTTGCAAGTCTGGAACATAAAGGACAGCCTGTCCCAGAAGCTGCGTTTTTTCACCACTGTCCATGATAGTTTTTTCTTAATTGCCACTATAGTGGCACTCTGTTGTTTTCTCAAGTTTACAGTAAAATGAAATAAAGAATTTCATGTAAAAACAATTTCAAATTTATTTCAAAGGGACTAGGTTTTTGCTTTTTCAGCTGATTTATTTAAACTAAACCCAAATTTAATACTTAAAAATCTATTAGGTAGGGAAATGGTGGGAAACAAGAGGTCAGACAGTCTCTGCAGTGAAAGGAAGAGCTATCCTTTGTTACGCTTTTATTGTGTGTCTGTTTCTTTACTATCTGCTATAATCCAGGTTTCTTGCATTGATAGTTAGTATAATATTAACTGATTTCTAAATGGAAAGTAAATTCCCAGCTTCATGCGCACTGAGTACCAAGAGGAAGTGCATAGACACACACAGATGAAGCTGGCAGCTCTTCCCTCCAGACACAATCACTAGAGCACAAGGATACTAAAAACTGCTGGTGTTTTTTCCAACTACATAACTTCTTCTGTTTTGGAACCTTCCACCGATGACTGAAAAAAATAATAGAAGTATTTTTATGGTAATAAAATACTAAATGGTAAAATACATATTATGTAAACCTCTTGGTTGCCAAGGTCTTGCAGATCAAGTATAAATAATTCTAGTTTGTTACAAATTTTCTTGAAGGCTTCCAACTAGACGTGCACTGTGAAAAATGTGTGGCCTTTTCAAATAGAACTTAAATAATATCTTCTGTTTCCTCAAATAATTTTTTTTTTTTATGCTGGAACTTTGACATTTAAATTAGGAAAAAATGATTTTATGTTCTATGAACTAGTGTAACTATATAAAATCAAAAATTATCAGTTAATCATTCCAACATATTTGAGTGCAAGTTATTAATTTACAAAGCAGTTACTTGAAGTTTTTGAGAATTGTGGCTTTTAAAATGTTCTCACAATAGCCTAATAGACTATATGGTATTCTCTGTGCCTAGAAAACTTCTTGATTTCAGCTATACCACTCAGTTTTCAGACAAATGCAGTGATTAATCACCTGGTTTTCTTCACTTGATGGCAAAACTTAAATCAATAAATCTGATGAGCTGAAAACTGTCTCCTGAAGTGATGCATTTTACAATGCTTTCTAAGAACTCAAAGGTCAAGTCTGAAGGAAACTTTTTATGAGAACTTGATACGTTGAACATGATTTGTGCAGCTTGAAATAAGTGATTCAAATTTGTACTTAGTCTATTGACATAATAAAGATGATAGTTGTTCATGGCAGTGCATTTTATTTCATTTTTTTAAAATTCTCCGAAGCTTCAAATCCTGTGGGATGTGGACAGACTTTGACATCATTAATTATCTGGGAATGTTTTCAATTTACTGTTAATTTACTACATTTTATCACAGTTAGTCTTTGTTGCAATAACATTTATTTCTGTCATCTACTGTGATCTTGTATTTTCTCCAGGAAATAAAAAAATAATATTTTTCTGTTTTTGAGAAATCACTGTGGTATCTTCAATTAATTTTGTCAGGGTGGAGAGTAGTGAGTTTAGAAATGGCATAAATGGACTTCAGAGTTGAAATCAGAACTCTGCTTATGGCATTTAAATGTAGACCAGGAATATGGAAAAACCCAAATCTCCCCTCCTATACCCCTGGGTGCAAAATGGAGGTGGTCTACTTGAGGTTTCTTTGGTTGCCTAGACTACTATTAAAATCTCAGATAGAATGGAGCCTCATAACAGGGAACAATATGGGAAAAAAAAAAAAATACTGAAATTACAGGATATAAAAAATTTAGTGTCCTAAATATTTTCTGACAACTTTGTATTTTTAACCTTTGTATGAAATTGAAAATTACGTTTGATCAAATAATATTTGCTTATCAAAATATTAGCATAATTTTTTCCAGAGAACTATAAAGTTTAAAACAAGTCCAAAGTGTCACTTTACCGTGAAAATTAGTTTTGTCAGAAGAAATGGGTACAATATGCTCAGGTGTTGTCTTACAGTAGAGTCCATCCTTCAGTCACCAGCTGGGATGTGACTGGTCCTGATGTATTCACTGTTTTGATCATTTTAGTGTTCATTGAGATGTTTGAGCAACTCGTTCTGATGCCCTTAGTCTTCCTTCTCCCTCTGGAGTTATATAAGATTCTATAGACAAATTTCAATGATAAATCTTTTGAATAATATCAGCTCATTTTTTTTTTGACTGAAGTATCATGCTGTGGGTTGCCCTCAGAGCCTGCTTGAGATGTTTGGGAGATCTCTTTTGCATATAGGGCTAAAGCTGGCTTTTCACCTTTGTTGCAGTATCATGGAGGTATGGTTATGTGAATATGTTAAGGGTTCAGTAATGGGCAATGATTAGTTTATCACAGCCATCCATGTTTTAAATAGAAAAAAGCAAACAATAACTAGACTACAAGCCATCACTTCTTAGAGTACAGGCTGTAGTGGGATGACATGGAAAGAGAAATGTTCTCAGTACTATATGCCTTTTTTGTATATTATGTTCTTACAAGCTTAATTGTAAACACTGATAAAGGAAAAAATGTTGATATGCAGAAAATAGAGGATAAAAATAGTTTTGAATATATTTTTAATGCTTAGTCAGTCTGAGGGTTAATCATACAGTGAAAAGAGACTGTAAGGTAATGCTCATCCATATTGTATAAAGGATATTTTTATGCTTGCTTTCAGGTTAAGGCTCATGTTTATGTGGTTTATTTAGGGTTTTCTTTGCATGGAAAGTTAAGAATATCTAGATAAGCCTGTAGTATAAATATTCATAATGTAAGTATTGTGTAAAGCTTGTGAAATACACATCTAGTGGAAGTTCTGCTGAAGAGGAGGATTCTAGGTTGCTAAGGCACAGTGAATTGCCAAACATACAATTGGTTTTAAATGATTTTTGGATGGGATATGAGGATATTTTACTACGTTTTTTGGCTGGTTTTCAGTTACAGGAGGGATAATTTAAACATTGCAAAAGGGCACTATCATTTTCCTATAGTGCATGAGGTAGATATTTCTATTATATTTTCTTAACAGAGTTATGGTTCTAACCCAGTTGTTTGACCTCTGTGATGGCATCTTGGCACAAAGCAACCTTCTGTCACACAAATAAACATCAAATAAATGAACATCAGCAAAAGTGTAATATGAAACTAATAATTAGTTGTCAAAATTTCAGCTGGATCACTGTGAATAACTTTTCCCTATTTTTTTTTCCTTCTTAGAAATACAAAGAATATGAGAAGGATGTTGCAATAGAAGAAATTGATGGCCTTCAGCTTGTGAAAAAGTTAGCAAAGAATATGGAAGAAATGTTTCATAAAAAGTCTGAAGCCGTACGGGTAAGTAGCAGAACAATCTGCTATTTCATTCTATGCTGTTAAACTAAGTATATAATTTAGGCTGTGCTCTGAGGGCTGTATTAGCGATTGAAGGTGCTGAAGTGGAAATGCTAAAGCATTCAGAAGTATTTTAGTATCGCTGTTCAAGAGAATAGATATAAATTATTTATACCATCAATAGACAAATAGAAGAGTGTCACTAGGTTTGGACCACCAGTTTCACACGTGAGTTTGGAAGGTATCACTTGTGTTTAGTAAAACTTAACTACGTATGGTTGTGTGTTAAAATATTAGATTTCAAAATATCAAACCAAAGCAGACTTAATTTCACTACTCACTATTATAAAAATAGTTTTGCAGGCAATCTTTTGAGAAAAAGATGAAGATACCTTAAATGGGACTAAATTAAAAATTCCTCTAGTTGTGCTAAGTACTACATCACTCTAAAGCAACTTAGTAACAATTGTTAAGTAACTATGTTGAGCTTTTTGTACATCTGTAGGTATTGGTGGCTTGTAGGCTTTCGTTTTCTTGATTTCTAGTGTGATCGTTCTTTTGTGGTAGCTCTGGTGCCTATTAGATTGTATTTACCATAAAAAAAGAGAAGAAATTCTTACTTCTATGTTTCACTATACTGTATAGGAGTTCACTATAACATGCATGTCCTAAAGAATAGCAGATCTTCCTGTTGTAGTTTTCATTTTGGATTATTCTTTGCTAAAAGTTTAGGTGTCTGTAACAGTAGTTCCTGTATATCATCTATATATATCTCAAACTATTTATATATATATTTTTTTATATATAAAAAAACCTAACAGGACATTATGGTGATGCCATTCGCCACCAGCTACTCTTTCAACCAGTTGTCTGCTCAGTTCAGCTGAAGGTCTGTGTCTCAACTGTGGAGCTGAAGGCATCACTCAAGGACAGGGATTCCATTTTTGTAACTGTAGATAAAATTTTGCCTTCAGCCTTTTATTATTTCTTATGGTGCAAAAGGGAGGAAGGAATTTGGCTACATTTTAGAGGTTGAATTTTCTGGGCTGGCAGTGGAGTAAAACATATTTCAGCTTGTAAAGTGAGCACACTTGGCAAGGAAGCAGAGAAAGACAATAAACATGGAACCCCACAATGCTATTTTTACAGTCTGTTTTTCAGAGAAAAACTCCACTTTAAGATGTGTGCAACAGCTTCCAGAAACTTGTTGACTCAGGGGAGGGATGGGCTATTTTCTGTCTTCCTTAACAGAGAAAACGGCTGCCCTGGGATGATAACAATGTGAAAAAAAACAATCTGAAAAAGAACTCATTTAGGATGAGAAGTTACCAGCAAGCTGCACACTTGCTGATCGGAGGAACTCCATTCCATCAGTGTGGAGGTCTGCTGGGGAAGAGCAGTTTGCCTCTCAATTAGAACTTTGTAACAAATATTTTCCTAATTTTTGTGAGAGTTTAGAACTGGTTTGGGCTCTAAAAATACTGTTTTTATCTAAGGAAAAAAATATAGGACCAATATAGGCCACCATGCTCTGAGTTAAAAGTAAGCCCAAATTCTGTGAAGTTTAAACCATGCGTATAGTATTGTCTGAAGGGTTTTAGTGAAGGAAAAAATGACTGAAATCTAGTGCCGCCTTTGGAAGCTTTCCATCTTTGGAAAGGAAACTCAAGGCTTGGTTTGGATAAGGTCAGTTCTTTTAAAAAACAATCTGGTTAGAGTACCTTCCAATAAAGTTATTCTTTTTCATAAAGTTACGTAACGTGGTCCCTCTTGGCTGCTAGAGTCAGTGGGGGACCATTTACGTTCTGGTAGTAAGTAGTGCTGAGTATTCTGTGTCCTGATAAGCACAAAAATCCTTTGGTGCAGTGCGGGTTTTGCAGAAGCTCCATCTTTGGTACATCATAGCTAATTTTGTCCTCATGTCTGGAGGGGGGAGATAGGAGTGTTAGAAAGCTCCTGTGGACCTAAGACCTCTCTTCCATGCTGAGACAATTTAATACTTCATCACTTTGCCTCTAAAATAATACAATTTTAACATAAGGTTTTGATGGAAACTTGTTTGAAGAGCATCAAAACTTGGAATTCAGAGTAATATTTTAGATACCCTGGTGACAATATTGGGGTAAGTACTAAATGAAGAGTACCTGACAAAGTATCTGTAAGCCTTAGAAATTTTGGGTTGACCATTGTGAGGGTTCAAATCAAAGTGCTCAGGAAACTTGTTTCAATGTTACCCCAAATTTTTACCCTACAGTATGTATTGAATTAGCTTAAAAGAAACATTAAAATCCATGGTTTAGTTTAAAATACTTCTTAGATAAAACATTTTAATCAGCATACCTTTTTGAAGTTCTAGCACATTTAGCAATCAGTGATAACTATTCAGAAAGCCACAGTATAAAAAAATTGTTTAATTTGTAGAAAAGGTCAATAAGAAAGACCTAGAAATAGAGAAATAGAGAAATAGGATGGTCTTAAAAGCTGTTCAGGTGTGTTTATTGTTTTTTTTGTTTTGTTTTTTTTTTTTTTTTTTTTTTTTTCTGGTTGTTTTTGTTTTTATGCTTTCAAACACATTAACTTGTTTGAAGCTACTAATCACATTTGAACTCTATTCTCCCTCTTCCACCTTTATATTCTGGTTGAATTTTTATCTTTCTGTCTCATTGCTTTTCATAGTGATTAGTTGGTTCAGTGTGATTTTTATCATATTCATCTCGTTTGAATTACCCTTCAGTATGCAATTATCCTATCACATAATGTCCTATTTTTTTGCTGTCAGATACGTAAAATAAATGGAAAACTGAAAGTACTAAACCAATTATGTAACCTTTTGTCATTTACTTACTGATGGAAACCCTTGCAAGCAACTTCTCCCTCCCTCCCTGCCCAGTGTTCACTAGCTTAGATTTATGTCAGCTTAGGATATTCCTGTTAACCATTTCCTTTCTAATACTGCCCTACTTGATCAAACTTCAGAGACACAAAATCAGATTTTATTTTGAAATATTTGTGGCATGATTTAAGTTAAAACCATCAAAGAATGGTTTTGATTTATGTCACTGACGCTTTGTTTCTAGCTATGCCAAATGTAGATGTACTAGTTTACCTTTAAGACTATGTCATTTGGGTTGGAAAAATCTCACTGCCCATAAGGTGCCATAAGTGGAAATGTTTCCTGCATTGTTCAGCAGTGGGTTTAGTTTTACAGCCAAACCCAAATGATCCCTTTGAAAGCCGTGTATAGTCTGCTGTCACTTGTGGTATTGCTTCGGTTGCTTTTTCTGGACTTCTAGTGATTTCACTCAAAGGAAATGTGCTTGATCAGTCCTTAAAGTTAGCTGTGATTTATTTTTTTTTCTTTAGAAGGTTTTATGATACATAAATGACTTCATTTATTTGAAACTGAATAGGAATAGAGCATAATGATATAATGCTCAGTAACAAATGAGTACTGCAACAAACGATAGTGAAAAAGAGGTGGAATAAAAACTATCCATTTGGTGATTTTACTTTTCCTAGTTAATGGTGTAATAGGAAAAAAAATCAAAGGAAGATAGGGTGACATGAAAAGAAAAGAAAAATGAAAGATATGTTATTAAAAAATATTCAAAAAGCTATTACTGACATGAGCTATGCAGTTAAATTTGTATTTTCATTAGTGTTTCTTTGAAAGTAAAGAGAATCCTGTAAAAATGATTGTTGATTTACTTGTAAGATGGCAAATCAAGTGTTAAGGATTATTTTTCTTTAAGGCACCTACCATTACTGCAGTAGAAAATGCAAACAGATTTCTTTTTATTAACTTCTCTTACTGTAGCTACCTGGTGTTCATTGTAAAGCTGATTCTCATTATAACTGTACTGTGGAAAGTAATTGGTGTTGTACAGTAATTCAATTTCAGTGCATTCATGCATCAGTAAGCCAGTGGGATTTATCTAGAGAGGCCTGCGCCTTTAAAGCTTTTTATCATGAAATTCCACATGCAGAAAAATGTTCTTCCAAGGAGTAGAATATCAGCATTCATATTTAACAAACATTTTCAATGAAGAGAAATGGATTTTTTTTCCACCAATGATTTTAATACCAGTCTTTAAACTGTTTTCAGATACGTAGCATTATATTGTTTATGCACAGTTAAAAGTAGGTAATGTATGTGTTTGAAATGCTTATTCACTTACATGTGTGGTTTGCATATTTTAGTATGTGGGTGCATATACGTGTGGGTATGTATCTTTGCAGACACAAATTTTGAGGTTTATGTGTGTAATAACAACAGATGCAATTTGCAAATTATTTTTTTTCATATATATGTACATATATATGTAAGCAAAGTATTAAACGAGATGTACTGCATCCACATATTTCCAAGCAAATTGAAATTTGAAGAATTTTTGTAAAACCTGTTAAATAAGGTTTTATGGCTATATCATTATGCCAGTTAAGAGCATTTACTGGGGACAAAACACTTTTTCTTAGTGAGATTTAGTGTTTAGACTGTACTTTTGTTGACATAGGAGTTGAAAAACAGTGACTTCCCATAATGCCTAAAGAAAAACTGAGGCAACAGTGAGGAATGTTCCAGGTGAAGTTTGAACTGATCTTTTTTTGAGACTGTTTTAAATGTACACTGTCTTCAATGTCCACTGTGTATTTTATTTCACTGTATTTTTATTTTGATTTTTCGTCGCTTTGATCACGGCTAGATTGGGAATGGCATTCTTGAGAAGAGAAGCAAATAATCATTCATATTTCATATGCATACTCAGAAGATAGGTCTTAAACATCAGAATTCATTACTTTTCTAGGCTCACTATTTCTAAATATAGAATAAGCACTTTTTCACTATCCACTCTGTTCCCACATTGAGCTAATTTGCATCTGCACAATTAGAAGGAAAGAAAATGAATATCAACATGCACACTGTAAAACTGTGTTGCTCAAGGGTGGTTGTTATGCTCAATGGGTGTTATTCTGACCTCTGATCATTATTTTTTTTTTAAATG